CAGCCTCTCCATAAGGTCGTGTGTGCCTTTATCCATTGCCGTAGACGGCCGTAGGTCATTTGATCAGCTGATGGATATTGGCGTTATTTTTGGAAAAGACGTCAAGGTTAGGTCATTTTTCGTTGTTTTACACACTTTTTTACCTATATTCCTGCTAAAAGTTGATGAAATACGGCGTATTTAGCAGGAATAGGCAATAGTGTTGTTTTTATCCGGCCGTAGCTTACAGGCAGTTTACGGTTTGTTGAAAAAACGTACTTTTCCGTTCAGAATATGTCGAATTACTTGAAGACACATGTTATAACGACCATTTCGTGAATTTTTTTCGCATTTTAATGGATTACACATGGACATGATGAGGTGGGATAGCTCGTTTAGGTAATTATTTCAATTATTTTGTTGTGTACTTTTCCTAATGCTGACAAGGCTGCTCCACATGTATTTCTTTAAGAAAAGTCTGCAGAAATATTAAGAAATTATGTACGCACAGTATTTCCTCATTTAATGGCATAAACTTGACGTTTGCAGACAGATGCAATATCGATTTTGTATTATTGAAAAATGTTTACTGACGTATTTATATATAATTCAACTAATTATTTCGTCATTTCAAACATATTTAATGGTTAATTATTTCGTTTACACTGATAATAATGTCTACATGTGTATAATTCTTATGTTCTTTTTCAGATAATATCTACTTTCGGGAATTTCATGGATTTGGGTGATAAAGAAAAAGATACCTGCACTGTTGTCGATTTTGTATTACATGTTAATTCATTAATAAATGTATTCCTCGTTATTCGTTTGTTTATTCTACTTGATAAGACCGAATATTAGCCCTTGCGTAATTTGTGAGGTATAGAGTATATGAGACTATCTTTGAAATCCTAAGTAGAAGCAGATATTCGGAGAAGCCTATTGGTAAAAGATTATGTTGTAGTCAAATAAAGTAAGTATGTCTAAATCGTAGAGGAGGTATTGCGATTATGAAGCGTTTCGAGTTATCTATCGTCTTAGCAGAATACATATAATGATTCGCGATTCATAGTCACGAAGTGAGAGTAAATCTACCTGAGATAGTTTGCTTGTGATTTCTGCATGTCGCAGTGTACCATAAGGACAGACTATACCTATGCTGTTAAATGTATAACTCTGTGCAACTACGGTTATCGTAATAATTAAAAACAGAATGCCTAAGGTCCTCGGCCACGGAACACGGTACGTTGCTATCTACTCATATAATCACGTAAACAAAAGTCTTTTAGACGTCGCATTTACTCCTAACAGCTTACCCTCAACTTCTAACTTAGCACGTGTTACTTATGTTACTGGAACACAATCGTATTACAACAGAAGGAACACAGATTCATTGACAAATTGTTTATTAAACAAAAATCAGATTTCAAATGTACATATAATTCAGATGAGTAGTCCTCTGTTACCGTCAGTAAGTTCCATCTGCGTACACGGCACGTATATGTTTTTCCATAAGTCTGAAAAGGTATAAGAAAAGCATAATTAACTTGGGTATTAAATGTATGACCTGAATAAAAAAATTTTCCTGATAAGCACTTACAAGTAATCACTTTACAAACAATATATATATATAAGTAGCCCAATAGTTTTCACTTAACTTAAGGGACTTCGCAACTTATCGTTGGTCGATATCTAGTAGGTCCATCGAAGCACCATGAAATGATAAAATTATTTAACGACAAGTAATGCAGTAGTTTTCAAAGTTTGTACAAATATTTTAGCAAAAATGACAACGACTTTATGACAAATGATAGGTCAGCAATAATAATTACATTCATGTTCATAGTGACTATAAAAAACAATAATAGGTATTATTATCGCAACGAATTCATCATTAACTTAGATAGACAACTAATAATAATACAACCATACCAAATAAATGTATCACTTAATCTTAAGAAGCATGTGTTTACTTACTTTCACTGTATTCTCTCAATACTGATGTGCTCAACAAGCTTATTCCAACTGAATTTAAGATTAATTCTGAAAGTGAGTGAAGATCCAGTTTATGTCAAATAAAAACATGTACCTTACATGTATTACACTGCTTACTGAGACACCTGATACCTGCTTTCCTATCTTCATGACAAGAACACAGATTATCTAGGTTTACTTACATATATACATAAGTATACGTATATGCTGCATCAACTATGCCGTTTTTATCATGATTAACCAGACCACTGTGTATATTATACTTATTTAAGGATCTCTGAAGATAATGGTCAAGCGATAATTGAATTGGCGTGAAGTTATTACCTCTTCAGAACACTGTTTGCATTCTTGACACTCCTGAGAAGTCCTTAGATCGTAATTTGGCATGAATTCGTTGAATTCAGCAAATAAATCCACTGCTATATGATTTTTCTCCTGAGCTGTAGTAGTTTGTGTTGTCAGTTATCTATCCAATTCGATAAAACGCTCCTGGAAATTCAGAACTTAACCAAGCAGCAAAATGACGTTTGAAATTACCTCAACTCGAATGACAAACTGGCCAATCACAAGCGAGCAAATCGCTTGTTTATCTCATTCGCGGTCACTCAAAATTACGGCCGTCTACAGGCTGCCCTATTTTCACCTTAAGTCAAATTCATGTAATGTGAATAATACTTATCCATGCCTGTACAAATGGTGTGTCCTACATAGACAGGAATAAATATATATTATTATTAATCTGGAAATCTCCTGCACTCCTCAGCATGAATAACGAAATTCGGATTCTGTTTAGTACGAACGTTAGGTCAGTTCTTCGATAGGGGTGAGGAGCTTGCAGTGCACGTCATAGGAAGCATTCAAATCTGGCTATTGCAGACTTTTATCAGCAGCTGCCCTCACCTCATATTGAAGATCGAATAGCCAGAAAGAATTAGTAACAAGAATCTCTAGCAACAAACCAACCGAGAACCCATTGCTCAACAAATCTGTAGAATAATATGGAGATGGATAGGTCATACACTGACTGACATCGTGTCTCAGGCCATCGCTAGAGTGGAACCCGAATGGGAAACGACGAGTGGGTCTTCGGTCTGAGGGTGACATGGAGGAGGTCGTGCAAGGAGACATAAGATCACAGGCAATCACCAGCCTTACTAATAAGGACGACAGTAAACAGAGCACAGTGGAGATTAGTTGTCGAAGCCGTGTTCAAGTCATAACCCAAGGGAACAATAAGAGAAAAGTAAAAGAACAGAATACCGCTGATCATCAAAAAAAGTTGATTTGATCATAGGAAAATTATGATGACTAACATGAGGGACAGGATAAAATGGTTAAATCACTTCAGTTTTCAAATCAACAATGGCTATTCTAATATTGGTTTGTAAGGATTCGGTTGATTGGTTACAGAATTTCATCAGTTGACATTGGTTAGAGAACCATTGGAAAACCTGGGAGTACTGGACAGCTGATTCGTCCTAGTTTGGGACTCTTCAGCAGTACGCACCCACCGGGGTTCGAACCCAGCACCTGGTTACAAGACAAGCTCACAGACCATTAAGCCACTGGGACCCGATCCAAAGGCTCATGAATTCTAACTTCTGCCAATTCACGACATAGTGCGACCAATAGGCAACGTCATCCGGACTGAGTATTTGTCCTCACAAATGACCTGCTGCACCCTACCTGGTCTACGAATTCGCCTTGTAACCAGAAGGTCCTGGGTTCGAACCCCGGTGGATGCGTACTGCTGAAGAGTCCCAAACTAGGGCGAATCAGTTGTCCAGGACTCCCAGGTATTCCAATGGTTCTCTAACCAATGTCAGCTCATGATGAAATCCTATAACCAATAGCTATTCTATTTGAATTAACGCATAATAAATACAAGCTACCTTCGCACCTATTAAATACATATAATGACGATTGGAAAAATATACACTGAACACTTTAATGTTCACGATTAATTTTATAATTAATCAAAAAAAAACCAAAAATTAGTTAGTAGTATTTCTTGTAGTTTATATAACAACAGAATAGAACGATAGTAAGAAAGAAATACAGTTTCTACGGATGCGCATAAAGCATATAGAAGTGAATGGAATTTTAAAAATAAGTGAATGCAGACTATATATGTTATATAGTTAATTAAAATTAAAAGAGAAAATCCAGAAGTAGTAGTAGTAAATGATGTCTAAAAAATTAGCATTCATATTTAACTGATTGTTTTTCCTCTCGATCTGATGTAAACATTTTAGCTTCTACATGAAAGTGAGTGAGATCTTTGACAAAACAATAAATATACACGTGTGTGTGTGTTTGTGTCTGTGCGCATATGCACGTGTTTAGAAGCAAACAATCATATACATGTACTTACATCTATTACGAAAGCATACACACAGACACTAATACAGAAAAAAACACGACAATGGAACAGAGAAAAAAGAACAAAACTGTACATGGCAATAAGAGAATGAAAAATGTAGAATAGTTCAACTGTCTCTGTTTGTTGTTGTTAAAAACTGTTGATGTGAACAATAAAAGGTATCGTCATAACAACAATAAAAACAGTGGAGAAAATAACAAATGAAGAGTAAACACACTGCGTAGTTCTAAAAGAAAGAATGTGCATTGATAAGATAATAAAAAAAAGGGATATGAGATCATCATAAAATTCAAAAGTGTCAACTAATCTGACATCTTCAAAATGAATATTGAGAAAAGTGCAAAAAACATAAAAAGATAGGCAAGGGCAATATTGACCTGATTTTTCTTTTTCAACTGTCAGTAATCTGTTTACCTTGAGAAATGGGAGTGTATTTTAAATTTTATGAAATATATGCAAAATCCATTTAAGAAAATGAAACGTCAAAGAGGATACAGAAAGAAAGCTAGTATAGAGTAATTCAAAAGTAGAAACTATACACAGATAAAAACTAGGTATATATGTGAATGCACGTGAACGACTGTATATATATATATATATATATATATATATATATATATATATATATATATATATATATATATATATATATATATATATATACATATCAACAAATATCTGACTGTTCCCAAAATCCTTTATCGTAACCCTCATGTACATGATCCAATAGAACGTGTCGACGACTTTCACAATACCTGGCTTTATCTTGCATTTTCTGTTTTAATTCATTTAAACTGATGTTGGAGAGATCACGATCTAAATATTCTGACAATTGTTCTGTAGACTGTTCTAAATCACTTTGATTACTTTCAAATATTAATGAATGATTATTCTTTTTCAAGAAGTAGGCAAAAGCATATGTGTACATCAATGTCCTACGACAACGACACAAAATCTCGACTAGCTTCCTGAAGAACTTAACATCAATCCAAGATGTTCCATGTGCTTGCATTGACTCCATCTTACTTTGCACTGTTTCGTAGAGACGAGCTTCGAATCTCAAGGACTGCATATGATTTAAGTAACGATTTGAGTAAAAGAGATAACGATCAAGTGATAACCTAGAACTGGCTTGAGCTTCCCTTGCCAGCTTGGCAGCGGAATCATCATAGCGATTGCATGTATACCACCGTGATCCATGTGGTTCCCAACGATCTAAACACATCCAACAAAACTCATGCTTGCAATCTACATTTCGACAGGTCATGTGATTACAGCCACCATTTTTCTCTATAGTAGCATGACACTTTGGACATTCCTTTGTATTAGCTGCAATCCACCCAAGTGTACCGCTATCATTTTCCAGTTTTTTAATCCATGTTTTCAACTGTTCACAACGAACTGGATCATGCCATGGCTGACCGCAAGCAAAGCAGAAACATTCAGCACAATTTGTACACGTGATCTGATATGGTTCACGTGGGCCGAAACAACGCACAGCGTGACCACAGTTAACTCCTGGGCACCAAGTCAGTGAACGGTTGTGGCAAACAAAGCTATTAGATATCAGTTTATGAAAATGCTTGCGTACATTTTGGTCTGTAATCATTTGAAAGACTATTTCATCCTCAACAAGTACTCGACAACTAGTTGAAGGACAATAAATTCGATCGATTTGGCTTTCTTCCATAATTTTTATTTTGAGATAACGCTGCCAACAACTCAAGCAGAAGTAGTGAGCGCAAGACAACCCATACATTTGACCTGAGTACAACAAAAATGAAAAGGATAAAATAAACTTCGTATAAAATATCAAGTAGACAAGAAATAATGTTCAACATTATGAAAAGTCCTAATCTTTTTAGTGAACTAGAGTTGAAATAGTCTGTTCATTCTTCTGAAGTACTTTAATCTAGTTGACTTCATGAAACAAATATTGTTCGTTTCCGCAAGAAGCGAGACCAATCAACATACATCACAAATGGAATAGGCTTAAGATGATGGATATAATCGTTCAATATTGACATTTGTTTGCACATCATTTCTAACTATTGATCGGTACACAGTGACTTTGGTGGTTTATACGACGAACGTTACACGGAGGCTGTATTAATCGTCGGCAGATGACATCCCGCTTATCATAAAAAAATCCGGAGTAAGAAAGAATGCGCTAAAATTACATTAACCAATAAAAGGAGCAAGTAAGCGGATCATAACTTTAACTAAAGTTAGGTTACGTCAGTCAGTTCAATGATCAATCTTAAGAGTCAAGAATTCAGAAAGCCATACATAAATCGACGTAGAACCTTGAACAGACAGGGCATTATTTTATTTTGTCATAATCTGAATAAGGACACATGTAAGAAGAGAACTAAAATATGGTATGTTGGCCTGTACGGATAAAATACACCGGAAAATTTAATTTTTAAGAGAGACCATGAAGAAGGGATTAGAATTCGCAAATGGCAGCAACAGTAAGCTATAAAACATCATTAATTAAAAACCTGTAGGCTTAAGTGGGTAGGATTTTGATCACTAATCTTGAGATAGATGCAGGGACGTCAGTTAGCCACTTCAACGACATCGTTTAATAAAGCTGTACAATAATATGTGAAAATATCAACAGTAATCGGCTGCCAATGAACAGGAGGCTGGAATCATCTTATTAACACATCACCACGCAACAGGTGAACAGTAGGTCACAATACTAAATAAGTTAATTCAAGACAAGGGGAGAAGTATGACTAGTTAATAAATTAAAACAAATGTTGGCACCTTCTTAACAGAGAATCGCAACTTGCAAAAGCTAGGAGATTACTGTCTGGAGATTCTCAGTCTGAATATTTGGATAGTTTTAAAGATGAGGCAACTTGTAACGAAAAAAGTGACTGGTTATTGATGTAGTTACTAACTGCTTTAAACTATCCTCTTAAAAGCTTAGTGTGGTAATCCTTCAAAATGCATTTGGATACAGTAGTCATTGGACAATTAGAATGCTTAGCTATAAAGCAGCAGGTAAACTGAAAAATACTAACTGAGATATTAGAAAGTAAAGGTTTAACAGAAACTTTCTTTTCCTCGACGATCGAAAATCTCCGCTGTAAAATCACTTTTAAGTTCATATATATAAGTAATCTTAGCCTTGGAATAATGAAAAATTATTCGTCTCAGTGTCATGATGTCAACATATTCAAATAATTATGAAACTGAACGACCACTTGTAGGATTCTCAATAACTCAACAATGACTTTCCCCTATACAAATTCGTCTGATTCTCTAAAAAAGTAAACTTTGAAAAGGTATGCATTGTGTGTCTTAAAATGACTCCCATCACACAGATTTAAATGCATACAGTTTCTGGTAGTGAAACATCTAGAATGAAATACTCAGTCTTAAAATACTGATAGAAGCCTAACGGCATGAATCTGGTTTAAAGATCACCAGATCTATCGTAGATGAATGTATTGTCTCTGTATCTCTTACATAAAAGGAATTTATAATCACAAGACATAGGAGAGTCACCAAGTCTGTTGTGAAGACGTTGTTTACGACGCCACCAGAAGGTGAGACCATGACTACTACATCATTGTCCCTACAGAACACACTGCTGAATTGAAGCAGAATTTTGATGAAATCACGTGGAAGAGGTTTTATTAAATGATGTTTTAGCATACTAATAGAAAGACTACTGTTCACCACAATCAAAGCCCTTGTGGCGACTTGAACTGCCACACATATGTGCAAAGTTCTATGTCGAAAACAGACAGACAGATCAAAGCCCTGAAATTATACAGAAACATGGATAGTGAGTCAACTGTTTTCTAAAAAAAACTTTAGCAAGTTTAAACTAAGCACAAACAGTGAAAAAGCTGTATTTAGTGGATTCATAAATTGTAGTACGATTCATTAGCCCTACAAATATGATCATTATCCATATTAATAATTGAAGTTAACAAACATACAAACATGTGAACACTGTGACACGAAATAGGTATCAAATTCGAGAAGTGTGCGATCGATACAAAATGGAAGAATTCGTTGAAGTAATGAAGAAAAGTGAGTAATATTAGTGAAAGTAAATATTACCATATAAAATGGAGTTGCATGGTAGAATAATAAGGATTAATGAACAGTTAAATTATTGAACAAAAAGAAACTTATGCAAGTTGATAAGTGACAACCATGAAATAAGACTAACAATCTTTTAATAAGCATGAATTACAGTTAAGAGATAACTTACAATACACCTAACCAAGATTATTACTCAGTAATGATTTCTGATTCCTACACATCACAAAGAAGAACAGAACAGAACCCTCCGTATGATGCATATAGCCAGATCTATATGTACAGAATTCGCCTAGTTTAACAATGACTAAGTTGCAGATGAAAATATTATCTTAAGGTTTTAGATTTTGTGCCCCAACCAGCAACTTCGATCAGACTGATGTAGAAAGTCAATTCGAAGCTCTTATTCATCAATTAGAGAACTTAATTTCAATACTACTGAATGGCTGAAACCTGGTGGATACTGCAAACCAGTGGTACAATTATGCTAGATAACCATAGGACTAGCACATCAAAGTATCAAATATATTTGCGTTTGTGTGTGTGAAGGGTGGGGGCAACCCATTTAGATCAGTATTGTCTATGGTGAATCCTTTTTAATACAAATTAGCACAATGGTTATGTAAAATGGTCGATCCTCTACAAAAATGATTTTCAAAGCGCACAATCACCCGTTAAATCGACGACTCGAATGCATATGCTGAGCAGTTTATATCATTTGATGCTACTTCACTATCTACAAAGATCCAAATAGAGGAGTCGACTGAATTTATTTGTGCTGGTCTCTCATACTCAATAATTGTCTCAGGAAGTTACTGAATGTTTATGCCAAAAGACGTTAAGTTTATGTTCAGTAATGATCTGTATTCTCAAACAGACAGTATAGTGAGGAGAAGCCCACAGGTTTGCAGTTTGATTACTGGTGAGTTTAAAATGTTTTCCTAAAGCATTGCGTATACCTTAAATATACTCGTGATATATGGATAATACATTCATTGTATGCCAGAAAAAAGGTAGAGGCTGAGGTAATGTTGATAGAGTTTAATTTATGTCATGCAAGTGTAAAATTCGCAGGAGAGCATGAAGATAATGAGATTATTTGTTTCTTGGATGTCAATTTGCTTAAGCAGGTAGGCAGAACAGTCGTCTAAATATCCTATAAACAATCAATACCCCTACCACTTAATAACTTTTGTTGTTTACAGTTTCTTTTAATAACTTATGAGTGAGATAAAAGTTCATGTTTGATTTTGGTATAGCCTAGATTGTTAGCCCGAGATAATAAAATTTAGGGTCATTCAGTCCTGCTACGTTTTTTGTTATCGTTTTGTACAAGATTCATAGTAAGAAGAATCGTACTGAAACGGTAGAAGACGAAAGGCTTGGTAATATAGAGTTTATTAGGAATTGGTATCTCTATATAGCCAAATTATATATACCTTATCTTCAACTCACCATTTGCACAGATCGTTGTGTTGGGGTACTTCTGAACTTCATGTTGTGTTTCTTTCACGTCTCCCATGTATATTCACAACACTGTGTGATTTGCCTTATCTGAAATCAAATGTATCTCCCTGTTGTCTGATCCTTTGGTTCCGACGAACGTCTCTTTATATACTACTGATAAATCTTATCAGTAGTACTCGTCTCAGTATGGTATTTTCATCTTGTCTCACACAAAAAGTAACCTATGCCGCAATAAAACCGTGCTTTCTCAATACGAATACAATGTTTTAATAAATAAGGTCACATTGTTGGTGCGTATAATACATACAAAGTTAACTGGCAACAAAGGAAAGAGGTTATTGCCAGTTAGTGAAAAAATGAAGCAAAGTGTAAGAGAAATCACAATGTATCAAACATAGTGAATAATCTTATTTAATCGAGGGGATGACATACAATTCGTTAAGTGGTAAATAATCACTTGGGGATAATCGGTAGGGAACAAGAAAACAAAGGATTGAAAATGGGTTACAAAGATAATAAAATAAAAGGACTACATTCTTCAGGATTAGCTTTTACCCAGTATAGTAAATAGAGTGTGTGCTTTTATTTCATTAACATCATGCACATTGTAAGCTGCCTACTGGCGAAGAGAAGCTTCGATGAAGCAATATCAAGCATAGCAGAAAGCGTTAACAGACTGAGTGTATAAAACATGTGTGGATTGTTGTCTGTCTGTTTTCGACGTAGAACTTTGCACATATGTGCGACAGTTCGAGTCGCCACACTCCATGTAGCACACAAACCGAGAGAAGAAATGCATAATAGAGACAGTAAACAGAGGTGTGAGACAAAGGAATAGTAGTAATGAAGAACAAAACAGTTTCATTGGAAATCATAAGTCATAGGGAGTGGATGCATGTGCGCTAGCCATTGAGAACGATTTTAAGCCATGTCACCAATAGTTTCCAAACATTGGTTTTTACCGTCCCGGGACCCCAGCCCAGAAGTCTACAACTTCCTACGTGGCTTACACTAACCGTTGTGGATTTCATTGACTGGTGCCATGTTTTTGTTTGACCTTCGCTAGCTCTTTTCCAGCCTGACTCTATATCAGTTAACATTGCTCGTCGAGGAAGGCGATGACTAGGCATACGTAGCACATGTCCTAACCATCTCAGTCGATGTAACTTCACGGCCTCGTCGATTGATTTCCCCTGCTTACCTAGAACTAGACGCCTAATCTCAATACTTCTCATTTTATTATACCACTTCACACGGGAGATAGAGCGCAGGCACCTATGATCAAAGACAGCTAACCAGCCTTTTCATGTCTTCCACTCTCAATGGCCATGTCTCACTCACAGCCACAAAGGGGGACGGAGCGACTGCTGAGCAGTACACACGCCTTTTGGTGGATAGCCGGATATCACGTCTACTCCAGAGACGGCGTAAAGTGGCATATGCGAAACTAGCTCTCTGTATCCGTGCTGAGATTTCGTCAGCTATCAACCTGCTAGCTTTGGCTGATGATACTTCCCAAATAAGTGAAGCGGTCAACGTGCTCTACCACTTCACTCCCTCTTTCTAAGCTAGGCGTTGTCAGTGTAGTCCAGTCCTGTAACATTATCTTGTATTTGACGGGAGCGAATCGCATTCCAAACATTTGCAGATTGCAACTCAAGGTGTTCAGAAGACTATGCATTTTGTCAGCGTCTTTACTTAGCAGAGAGGACTGTATCATCTGCATATTCTAAGTCAACGAGATTATTCCCTGATAGTAACAAGTTAATTCCTGATTCGCTGAAGTCAGCCGTAGGGTTAAGTCCATTAGTACATCTATGATGAAGTTGAATAGAAATGGGGATAATGGGCATCCCTGTCGGACGCCACTGGTCGTCACCAATTCAGACGACAGATTGATAGATGGTCTCCAGTAATTCTGAAGCATATTAGTAGGAAAATGTTATTTAGATTGACTGAGGTATTAACTAGTGTAAGGAAATATAAGGATATTCTCATATCAGAGAAGTAGCAGATAAAATGACAGCAGAAAAGATTCCAGCACAATGTGTATTAACTCTGAAAAAACAAAAGAAAGCACCAGTATACTTAACAAAATCGGAAAGACTGGCTCTAATTTGTCTAAAACAGGATAAAAACATTGTCATCACAAAGGATGATGAGGGAAACTAGACGGTAGCTATGGATAAATTTGACCATATAAAGAAAGCCACTGAACACATTGCAACGCGTGAGGAAATTAAGAAGCCTATAAGTAGAATAATGAATAAGATGAAGAAATCTACAAAGGATTTAATACGCAGAATGAAGCCGTCACTGGGTGAGTTTAAACGGTTTAATTTAATGCCTAAAACTAACAACGCTAGTAGAACATATGGTACTATAAAAATACATAAACCAAGTTACCCCATGAGACCAATAGTAGATTTCAGAAATACACCTACATATGAATTATCAAAACATTTAGCTCTAAAACTATGTTCCATTACGAATCGTTCAGACTTTAGGCTAATTCATATGATATGAAAAGGAAATCAAATAACATTCAATTGGCGAATAATTAAAAAATGGTTAGTTCTGATATAACTAGTCTTTACACTAATATACCAATCAATATGACCTTCGAAGCAGTTAAGAGAGAACTATCTTTTGATACAGAATTTAGTCATAGGACAAAGTTACCCATTGATAAAATTAATTTAGGAACTCAATTATGCCTCATGTCTACTGCCTTTAAATTCCAGCGTAAAATATGTAAACAAACAGAAGGTGTAGCAATGGAATCACCAATATAACCCTATCGTAGCAGATGTTTATGGATAGCTGGGAAAATATACCTCTGAATACATTTAATCCTACTCCAAAAATATGGTGAAGATATGTGGATGACACTTTCACAGTGTTAAAAACAGAACATACCTCCAGTTTCTTCACACATATAAACTCACTAGTAAAGGGATTAAAATTCACATTTGAATCAGAAAATGAACAAGGAGAATTAGCTATGTTAGATTATAAAAATAAAACGAACAGAAGGTAAACTGTACACTAGCGTTTATAAAAAGCTAACTCATAATAATAGATATTTAGACTTTAATTCATCTCATGCGTTATCTGTAAACGTAGGCTTAGTTAAGTGTCCAACAAACCGATCAATAGCACTAAGCACTATATCAAAAACCTGAATGATGAAATGAAACAGATAGAAGAGGTGTTGGTGTTAAATATAACTATTCTATACAATTGATTAGGAAGATCAGAAAAGGCCAAAAGCAAAATAAAAATAATTGTGAAACTAGTAATAATAGCATAAATAAGAGAGAATATAAGGCATCTACAGTTTTACCATATAAGGAGAGGACATCTGAGACCCTACTTAGGATTTGTATTAAAGCAGGAATTAGGCTGGCATTTAAACTTAAAAACTCACTCGGATAGGTCATGCTCTGTAGGTTAAAGGACCCTGTTGACCCAATTAGACAAAATAATATAATTTACAAAATATCTTGCAATGACTGTGAGATGAATTTACTGAAGACTCAGTGTTATAGAAAACTGGCCATTTTCCATCAAAAAATGTTTGAAGAGCATTCTGTGCATAACATGGAAGCACAACGTATTCAAAATTAAGGTTAGGCCTTAAAAGCAAAACATATGGATGATGTCCCTAGCTGCATAAATTTTCATACACACAATGAATGATTGGTAATCGATTGTTTAAATTCACCCACGGGAAATAAATATCTTTATCATGTGACAAATTTAAACTAATCGGTGGAACAGATAATAATTTCAATAGTCAACCTATGGCTTAAATTTAGCCGTATTTTAAGAGGTGTATAAAGAGAGAGGTAGGAAAGGAAAGAGAACGAAAAAATATACCGGACGATATATCATGTGCATATTATTAATTTCAAAATCTATAAAAGTCTACAACAATCTGAATAAGTGATTACAATTGTCTCTCCTTTCAAAAATCACTATAGCTTTGTTATTGTTTGTGGCTTTTCAGAGAGCCAGTCACGTTTATGCATTTGAAGTACAATTTTGCTTTGATAATCAATCAATAACTATAGGCGTTCACAGTATTTTAGTCTGGATACACATCAGTACAATAGCTTGTTTACCACGTACTACTGAAAGCATACAAAACAAGCAAATTAAACAAAAAGTACCACATTAAAATTATTTTTTCTTGTATCCTGAAAGGAACAAACAGCTTCACGCACCAAAGTTTCACTAGCGCTAATATTTTCTACGGGGTGCTTTTGACAGCTTCGCACCCGCTCATCACACTTTTCTGGACTTACTATACGGTTGGCGACGCTTGTCAGTGCGTCAGCGAGGACGCTGACGGGAGAGCATTTTACCACTGGAACACCGAGACCCATTTTATAATAATCTAAAATAAATCAAACCTGGTGAAATAAGTGTCAGTTTCAACAAAGTGTGTTGCGTCGGTGGCACAGTGGTTAGGACTCTCGCCGACCATGCACATGGTCCGGGTTCGAGCCCACGCCGGCGCACACCTGATATCTATGGTCGGCCTGAAAAATTTGGGCTACCGATATCCATGCTGAAAATTCCATACTTGTACCAAAAATACAGTGTGGAATCAAGCTGTAAATCAAAAAATAAAAAATAAAATAAATAAAATAAAATTCACCATATTAACCGTTATTGTTAAGAATGATAGTTTTGAACAAAGACGGGACAAACATGTTTCCAGGACAAAAAGAGCTCATTATTTTTATTTCACGGTTGTTCATCATCTGCTAACAGCCTAAACATTATAAATGCAAAGTGCATAACATACCGTAAAATCTATTTTAACTCAAAAGGCATAGTAGGATGGCGAGTACTACTGGTAAGATTTATCAGTAGTATATAAAGAGACGTTCATCGGAACCAAAGGATCAGACAACAGGGAGATACATTTGATTTCAGATAAGGCAAATCACACAGTGTTGCGAATATACATGGGAGACGTGAAAGAAACACAACATGAAGTCCAGAAGTACCCCAACACAACGATCTGTGCAAATGGTGAGTTGAAGATAAGGTATATATAATTTGGCTATATAGAGATACCAATTCCTAATAGACTCTATATTACCAAGCCTTTCGTCTTCTATCATTTCAGTAGTAGAACAAGAGATATACAGACAAGATAATTAAAAATCTAACAATCAGAACTTATATATACATAATGTGGTGGGACATTCGAGAGGAGAGGGTGGGAGTAAAAAGAAGTGGTAAACAGGAGCAAAATTATTACGCAAACAAACAAGTGAGTAAGTTGGAAGATGCATCATGAGTTCACTTCAATGTGCTGTGATAAAGAAAAAATTGTGAATCAACAAAAACAGAAACAAAGTAGAGACATCTGGATACCAGGGTAGTGCAAGACTAATCACACTATCTCTTCTTATTACAACTCATTGAGTTGGACTGATGATTCATCTTCCAATTTAATCAATTGTTTCTTTATGTAATGATTTTGCTTCTACTTCCCAATTTCTTTTCATTCCTATTCTGTCTTCTTGAACGTTCAAACGTATTCAAAAATGATAGCTCTGAATACAATAAACCAATAAGAATTTTATGAACAAAATCAAAATTAAATGAAACAAAGTAACTAGGAAGATTTAACCAAGAGTATCATAGTCTCAAATAGTCAACAAACTGATTGACGAAATGCATGTTCTTAAGAACACAATAGCGTTAATAAGTAATTAATTCGAACAGAAAGGCACATCAGTTTTCATTACTGCTAAAATTCAGAGTGCACAACAACGCAGTAGCACACCTTAGCAAAATATCATATGACACATCACAGAGTAGATGCAGTCCTTTGGAGAAAAAAGTAAAACAAAAACTAAAGGCATGTGTATATGTTTTATCACAAACAGTATCTAGTGCAAATACAGATGTAAAAATAGAGTATTTCTAGGATGCATGTTATCATAATTCAAATGAAACTCAGCAGAATACATCTTACTGGGAGTTGCTGGAAGATAGCATATATCACAGAACATTTCAGTTTTCTTTTCATTTGTTTTTGTATGATTACTCGTCTCTGGAATAAAATATTTTCAACAAAAAAACAACAGCGAATGAATTATTACCAATAAAGAGAAAAAATATGCATACCATGAGAGACAAATTTCCTGGTCATTTCAACAGACAAATACTGTAGTCTCATCAGAGGCGTGCTCAAGATACTGGTCCACCTAAATTCTCACCAAGTATAATGCGTAAACTCTTCTCCACTTCTTGATGTTTTAATCGCTACATTTTTAGCTAGCCTTTGTCATATTACTGCGCACTTCTCGAAGGAAGAATATCGTAAAGAAATATATATCTTGCCTCAAACAAGACAATACAGTTTTGCGTGATATACTGACACAAATGTTATTTTACTGGCGAATCCTGTACGAAAAATAAATATTTTAAGTACGCTAAGAATTATCTACAGTGTTGTGCTAGCCTATTGTCTAGAATAAAACTATTATTTCATACATATGGTTCCCTTGATATATTTCGAAAGAGAAAGATTTGCAGTATAAAATGATATAATTTATTTCACAGGTTCACATCAGCTGCAAACTACTTCAATGTTTGAAAGGTAATCGAGAAGACATTATAAGATGAACACGCATCTGGAATATAAGTATTACAATTTGTAGTTTAAGTTACCATCAATTTATATACTATCAAACTATGAAAAAAAGAAGAGGGATGAGAGAAGACAGAAAAATCTAATAAACAGTGTAAGCTTGTACGTCAGCATGGCAACTCAAGAAGGTTAAAGTTCATCAAACTGAGAACTTGCTTGGTGAACTGAGCTCGCTAGTGTGTATAACTAATCAGTGTAATGAAAGTAATACGGTTACCAAGGGAGTGAGAAATTGACTACACTCTTTCTGTGTGTATAAGTTTCATCTGAGACGTTTGATTGCAATTGCTTCAGCAAATCGTAGTAGATTCGCTGTCCTTTTTCTGTTTAATATTTTGAAGGATTGGAAATCTTGACAAAATGACCCGTATCCACAAGGTGTCTGATAATCACACATTGTAAATATCTGCTTCCTTTTAAGCATAAGTTATATAGAATATGCTCTGAAAACCTGATAGAAGCCCTTCTTTCTGTGCTTCCAATGTTATTGCGGCCGCAGGTTGATAGTATATAAATTGATGGTAACTTAAACTATAAATTGTAATACTTATATTCCGGATGAGTTCATCTTATAATGTTTTCTCGATTACCTTTCAAACATCGAAGTATGAAATGTTATTATTTATAACCATTATAATTTCAGGTAGTTTACAGCTGATGTGAACCTGTGAAATAAAATGATATCATTTTATTTATATAGGTCCGAACCAAGTTCACTTCTAACGGTTTGAAAAAATGTGGGCATTGGATATATGATATTCATTATAATAAAGGTTTTTGTATTTCCCAATGAATGAAAAACAAAACGATAGTTATATATATGCTGAGATTTTGTAAATTCCGCCTTAATAATACTTTGATGAAGCTATTAGCATCAAATAGTGAAACGTCAGTAAAAATAATATCGTTTTGTTTTTCATTCATTCGGAAATACAAAAACCTTTATTATAATGATATCATTTTATATTGCAAGTCTGGTCTTTCTTTCTCTATTGAAAACTATCAATATTAACAGCTGTGTTCATTTAAAGGAGTACACACAGGTGTCACAATGAGTACTAGATGAACTCTGTGCTCTAATGCACAAAAATGAAAAGAGAAACTTTCCTAAAAGGTAATACAATAATGAAATTTCGTCATCTCCACTGCTGGCATGGAATCAAGATACGCACCAAATTACATCTATTTAGAGCCACATTGCCTTCCTCTATCTTAGGGCGGCCACATATGGCAACTGAACACCTTGAGCAGCAATCTTCGTATGTTTCGCATGCGATTCGCCCCTGCAAAATGCAAGATGCTGCTACAGGACTGGACTACGTCAACTCCTAGCTTAGTGATAGGGAGTGAAGTGATAGAACATGTTGACCACTTCACCTATTTGGGAAGTCGTATCAGCACCAACGGACTGATTGGCGACGAAATCTCAGAACGGACCCAAAAAGCTTGAGCTGCTTTCGCTAACTTACACCATCTCTGGCGTAGGCATGACATCCGGCTATCAACCAAGGTACGTGTGTACTGCTCAGCAGTTCGCTCCGTCCTTCTCTATGGCTCTGAAACATGGCCAATACGCGTTTAAGACATGAAAAGTGATATGTATTCACACATATATATATATATATATATATATGGTGATCTCTCTTTCTGTTTGCTCTCTTAGTCTGTGACCATTTCACTTTGATGAACCTATCTCCTTAACAATGTATATTCCCCTTATATTATATATAATATAATATGAGTGTTTGTTGACAGTCCGTTGCTTGGTGACATATATCCATATTATGTGTGGTTGTTGACATGTCTGCTATATTTTGCTATGTGTATATGGATCGACACTCCATTATAATTAGCCATTTATATTAAGACTGTCTATTGATTTGTTCACACCCTTGTCTGGACATTCATATATATTTCGCTCTCACAATTTGTGTGACTTACTTACTTTGGTGTGATACCACTTTTGCATTCTCCTTGTGTTTGGAAAATAGAAGTATCATCGCAAACCTAGTGGTCTTCTGATTTCCGCCTTCTTGCGTTAGGACTATTAAATTCTCGACCAGTACATAGCAATAATTAGGCGACGAGTACATAACAAAAAGGTTGACTGCCTCCGATCATAGATGTTTGCGATCTCTTTCTCACGTTAGGTGGATTAATAAGGTAAGTAATGTTGACGTTAGGCGTAGAGTGTTGGGCAAAGAGGGAAAATCAATCGACGAGGCTGTAAAGTTACATAGACTAAGATGGCTAGGTCACGTGGTGCGCATGCCTAACCATCGCCTCCCCCGACGGGCATTGCTAGCTGATATAGATAGGTGCAGATTGGAAAAAAGTAAGTGGTGGCCAAACAAAAACATGGCTTCATCAATCCATGAAATCCTTGACAGTTAAACTGAGTAAGGTAGGGAGATGCAGACTTCCGGGTTGGGGCCCTCGGGACTCTAGGAATCAATGGCTGGAGACAATAGGTGACATGGCTCAAAATCGTTGTCAATGGCCGGCGCAGATGTATTCAGTCTCTGTAATCTTTCATATTCCTTTCTACCATTACCCATTCTGTTTCACTCTTATATTTGTCAAACTCTATTGATTCTCTTCACTCATCTTCTTGTCTACTTTTGTGTGCAATTTGGAACGTGGCAACTCGAACTGGTGCGCTTCGGTGCCAAGTTCTATGTTGAATCCAGACAGACAGACAGAATGTGGAAGAAATGAAAACGTCAGTAATTTTTTATCACACATCACTCTGTTCAGTCTCTAGCGTTAAGTCCAGCAACAATGAAATTAGGTGAAGTGCTACGCACAAACAGCGAAAGTCAGCCGATGTGGTTGTGAAGCTGTATCGATTCAGATGGCTGAAAAATATGCTACACCTCAATCTTCAACAAACAGCGTTGTATGGAATGGGATCCGGTTGAAAGAAACTGAGTGGTTTGTACCACGTAGAAAGGTGTAGACTGTGTGGCTACCATCAACGAGTTGCTAAAATCAATGTTTAAAGAATATTGATGATATGACTCAAAATCGACCGCAGTGGTGCTTGAAGCACTACGTCCCACTGGGAACGTAAAGGAATAAAAAAATAATAATAACTATGTGTAAAAAAGAAATCAACGTTTACACCTGACAAAAGATGACGTAATCAATCGATGGTTAAAGACTAAGTGACGGACTTAACACAGGCTCTTTGTGAATGTATAACTCAGGCTTTAGGCGTTTGATAGCGATAGGTTCTGCAAACTTCAAGAAATTTCAACCTGCTGGTTTGTTTATTGTCTTGACGGAATTTTACATGTTTCCTTGAAATCGTCTGTCAACTACGTGCTGTGTGACCGGATTGCTTCAGAATGTTAATAAAACCATCTCCGTTTTTAGAGGAACTTCAGTTGGATTATAAGCCTAATTGCAACTATCTGGTATATTTCATTAAGTTAACATTACGATCCATCTGTATACCGTGATCATTCTTAATTTTGATTTAACATTTCGTTTTTCAAACAAACAAACAAACAAAGCATATCAAAACTGTTATGTAAATCACTTCAATTAACTAGACTGTATGCAGTCAATAAGATGGTGAAACAAAATGGAACCGTTTTTCTCTTATTCCAATTGTTAAATTCACTAAAGGGAAGTGGTGAAAACTAGTGGTATCCGTCAAGGATGTCCACTATGCTCTTTTCTATTCCACTTCATCATAGATGTACTAATGGACTTAACCCTACGGCTGACTTCAGCGAATCAGGAATTAACTTGTTACTATCAGGGAATAATCTCGTTGACTTAGAATATGCAGATGATACAGTCCTCTCTGCTAAGTAAAGACGCTGACAAAATGCATAGTCTTCTGAACACCTTGAGTTGCAATCTGCAAATGTTTGGAATGCGATTCGCTCCCGTCAAATACAAGATAATGTTACAGGACTGGACTACACTGACAACGCCTAGCTTAGAAAGAGGGAGTGAAGTGGTAGAGCACGTTGACCGCTTCACTTATTTGGGAAGTATCATCAGCCAAAGCTAGCAGGTTGATAGCTGACGAAATCTCAGCACGGATACAGAGAGCTAGTTTCGCATATGCCACTTTACGCCGTCTCTGGAGTAGACGTGATATCCGGCTATCCACCAAAAGGCGTGTGTACTGCTCAGCAGTCCGCTCCGTCCCCCTTTGTGGCTGTGAGTGAGACATGGCTATTGAGAGTGGAAGACATGAGAGCCTGGCTATCTGTCTTTATTCATAGGTGTCTGAGTTCTATAGGGTGAGCAATATTGAGATTAGGCGCGGAGTGCCAGGTAAGGAGGGATAATCAATCGACCATGTTGTGAAGTTACACTATAAGGACAAAAGACAAGAGTCAGGGAACAAATCCTTTATTAAGGAAATCAACACGCATTTA